ATAGACCTACTCTAAGGACCTAATAGATCTAGGCTAATAACCTATTAGATCTAGGCTAATGACCTATTATACATAGACTAATGACCTATTAGATCTAGGCTAGTGACCTAATAGACTTATTCTAAGGACCTATTATGAATAGGGTTATAACTTTTTAGATCTTGGCTAAAGACCTATTATATATAGGCTAATGACCTATTACATCTAAGCTAACGACCTAATAGGTCTAGGCTAAAGACATGATAAACCTAGGATTATGAGCTTTTAAACCTAGGCTAATAACCTGTTAAACATAGGTTAATGACTTGTTGGACCTAGACTACTGATCTATGAGACCTATTAAGACATATTTTAGACTAACCTAAATGCCTAAAAAAATTTAGACTTTTTAACCTATGCTAACCATTCATTCCACCAAGTCATACCTAAAACTAAAACAACTAGACCAAAGGTCAATAAAAATCATTCAAATTAGACCAAGGCTATCAGTGTAAGATAAAGGTAATTCTAACCATCCTTACATCTTACAGACTGGCTTCAAGTCCTTGCTGTCATGCAGAGGCGTAGCGACCCCTCCCGGCGCCCGGGGACAAACTTTCGATTTGCACCCCCCCACTTGAACTTTTCATTTGCACCCCCCTCAAACTTTCAATTTGGCGCCCCCCCCCCCCCCTGAGGTCGGCGCCCGGGGACATATGTCCCCCCCGGCCCCCCCCCCTCCCCTCGCTACGCCTCTGCTGTCATGTAAGCTGTCATTCGCATGTATGCGGCGGCCTAAAAGCCCACCAAGGTTTCTAAACCAAACTCTCTCACCGCCCACATTGAGATCACAGCATTGTATGATCAACTAAACTGTAAACTCACACACACCAGAGGGTTATCAAAAGCATACTCGGAAACTGTTCTGGAGCTCGTAACCCCCCCCCCCCCTCCCACATACACTTTTAAAATATAAAGCCAAAAACGTATTAGAAAAATGTGGAAGTGGCCGCAAAAAAAAAAAAAAAAAAAAAAAATATTTGTTTTCATATATTTTTGTGGATATTAAATGTAAAATAATATAGCATGGTGTCGTCCTTAATGACGTCATGCTTTTTCGCAATATTAAAAAAAAAAAATCCCATCACCATTTTTTAACAAGGTTGTTACAGTGTGTCACCTCTCCCTCCCCACTACCTCCAAATGACATCATTAAGTTCACCCCCCTTCCCCCACCCCACAAAATTATTAACTTTTCTAACGAAATATGATTTTTTATTTAAATATACAAAATTTTATGCTAATTAAGTTTTTAACCCCTCCCATTTCTACCTTAGACAGCACATCTTCATACAACTACACCTCCTCCTCATTGTGACGTCACCAATCAACAGCCCCCCCCCCCCTCCTTCACTCTCCCCACTTCATCCTTCACGAACATGAGAGAAAAAAAAAGTCAAATCTTAGAAATAAAGAATACCTCCTGAGTTTATTATCTCCCCTGAAGGCTTGCTCTCAAGCAAGCACGGACTCCGCCTTGAACCCTGGGATACACGGAGCTGTTGTGTCCTTTAGGATTTCTCCCCGGGTTCAAATCCTTGACATACCAGCGCAAATACCCCGTAGGAACGCCGGCGCCTATTTAACAAGATAAACAACTTTAATGTCTAGATGTCTCACCGACTCTTTAACAAGTGTCGAGGAGTTGTTTTTTTTTAAACGGGTTTAAACTATGTGAGGTTGTAACGATTTTGTTTTTTTAGTATAGTAAACAAAACAGTTTGCGAGATGGACATTCTAGTGAATGGAGTTCACGTCTAGATCAGATTGTGATTGAAATTTGGGGCTATTTCTCTTGGCGTAAAATTCGTGAAAAAAAAATTACAAAAATAAAAACGAGTTCAAAGGTTAAATAGATAATTTGATTTATATTTTAGTAAGCCTGTGTCTATATCGAGATAAAAAAATGTTAGACGTTTTCGTGAAAACACTCCACACTATTTTTTTACCCAATAATTTTTGAGTACTTATTTAAGCTGAGTAACCTCAGTGCTTTCTTAATAGTCAAGTTAAAGATATTGGCATCAGTGATTTAGTACTTAAGCATACATTACTGGTTAGAGAATAATAGTATATGCTCTTTCGTACTATGCTGACCACACAATCTCTTTAGATGCCGAAATAACGGAAACAGTTGAACTCTACTTCACCTACCACAGGGACCGTCAGGTTTGAAATCTGAACTTTAGTTTTTTTGAATACCATACTGTTCTTATTAAATTTAAAAAAATAAAATTAAAAAAAAAAACATTTTAAATTTTGTCGTGTTTTATTTCTGTAATTGAAAAAAAAATCATTTGCTTTCCATTTATTGCGCTATTAAAATGAATGCACTTTTATGCAACAACGCTGTGACTTAATGATCTCTTAAATTCCGCAAAATCCGAGTCGAATGCTCCACAATTCCTCGGCCCGTTCACACATTGATTTCTCCCCTCCTCTTCCGTCCACAGACCTCTCGCGCTGGTAAGTTCCAGAAATTCACGTCGTAACAACGAACCCTCGCCAAACCTTCAACAAACACCCACCAAATCCACACGCACACGGTCAAGCGACTCAGCTATTTCTAGTCCCCATCCCCGTCAAACATCACCCAACATCGGTTTTATCCTTGCCATTACAACAGCTCGGCTTGCGCAGGTTGGTGAATAAAATTCAACTTAATGCGTGCGTTGCGCGAGGAATTTTTTCCCCGTCTCCTATTACGTCCGCAATGCGACGGTGTAGAACTCTAAAAACATTTGACCAACACACGGGTCGCTCTCGCTTAAAAATGTGACAACAATTGTGGCTCATACCTGTCATTGTTTCCCAGGGTATAATTTTAGATGGAATTTTTGAATCTTTCAATTCAAATTAAATCCTCCCCCCTTTTTTTGTGTTGTTGTTGTTGTTAGTGTTGGTGTTGGAGGACGTTAAAAGATCGCACCGGAAGTCGTAACATTAAGTCATCAAGAAAATGGCGAGGGCGTAAGGATACTCTCTGCAAGTGCAAGAATGCGTTCAAGCAAAGGATGCCGAGAATGTTCCATTCATCCGTTCTTTGAATTCCGTTTAAGGAATAAAAATATTGTTATCATCACGAATACCAAAAATTTTTTCCGACATGGAGATTGCACTTAAACATGTGGCATTTCTAGTATGCGACGGAGCTACTGTTCAAACCTATAGAATTTATACCCGCCCCCCCCCCACACATACACGCACACACACACACACACACATATACATATATATATATATATATATATATATATATATATATATATATATATATATATATATATATATATATATATATAAATTTTTTGTTGTGTTTATGCTTATACACATACGAAGATGAGGCGGACAAAGCATCTTGTAAAAACAGAAACTCAATCATTTTTGTGCTTGATTGAATGATTGATTGATTGATCATTCAATAAAATCGCCACCCTCCCACCCCCCCCCCCCCCCCCACACACACACACAAACAAAGAAAAACAACTGTTCACCACTTGCAACGTACCCCGCTAGTAGTTAGTAGTTTCTTGAAATTATTAATTCATTAAAAACTCTTTCATAAGTAGTTTTGTGCTATCTGTGTGTGTGTTGTGTGAGTGTGTGTGTGTGTGTGTGTGTGTAGGTTTGTGGTCAAATCCTGTAGTCGTTTTAGCTGTTGTATTCGAGAAGTCTTTATTTCCACAATTCCGAAAGTCTCGAGTTCGGGTCAAGGGCCTACTAAGTCAGTAGGACGTCCCTGAATCCACCCAGCTCAGATAGGAAACTAATTCTCGTTAGGGGTAGAAAGGCAGCTAGGCGTAGTGCGGACCACACTATACCCGTAGTATGCCGAGATCATTGAAACAGATGAACTCTACTTCACCTGCCCCGTGTGTCTTGAGCATGATGGGGAAAGGATGATGTTGTTGTTGTTGATGATGATAATGATGATGATAATATTGATGATGATAATAATGATGATGATGATGATGATGTTGATGTTGTTGTTGATGATGATGTTGTTGTTGATGATGATGATGATGATGATATTGATGATGATAATAATGATGATGATGATGATGATGTTGATGTTGTTGTTGATGATGATGTTGTTGTTGTTGATGATGATGATGTTGATGATGATGATGATGATGATGATGATGATGATGATGATGATGTTGTTGTTGATGATGATGTTGTTGTTGATGATGATGATGATGATGATGATGATGATGATGATGCTGATGCTGATGCTGATGCTGATGCTGATGCTGATGCTGATGCTGATGATGCTGATGACGATGATGATGATGATGATAACGATAACGATAATGATGATAACGATAATGATGCTGATGATGATATCCAGCAGTGCGTTATTATAATTAGAGCCCTATTATGCATCAGTGCGATCGCTAGCAACCTTAACACCAAAGCCAACAACGTCTCATTTAACTCTCACCTAAAAATGTAAACCACGCCTCAGTGGCTCAATGCACCATTTGCCATCGTTCACTTCATTAATCCACCCCAACCTTACTTTCAATGGCACGGAAGCTGACAACAAACTTACGTTAAGCTTCCATTAAGCTTCAAGCTACACGAGTGTAAGCTGTGAGTAAACATCACGCGGAGCATGCGCAGATAATCAGCTGACCGGGCGTGATCGTAACGTGACACGTGATTGTTTAACTCCCCGGGCCACCCCCCAGCGCCGTCACGCATGTTATTTATAAATCAAACATGGCGACCCCCAACTTCCTGTTGTCCTACTTACTCAACCGCACAGAATGGAGAGGTTTTTTTTTGTGTTTGTTTATATTGTTAACAGGGATTTTGGTACCATCAAAATAAAAGAAGTCAAAACGTTAACTTTTGTTCACAGTTTAATAATAAAAACCCACTCACTGGACATTTAAAGACTGTCCTAATAGACAAATGAAAACAAAAATAGTCATTCTAATACATGAAAATATAAATAGGCAATCTAATACATGGGAATATAAATAGGCAATCTAATACATGGGAATATAAATAGACAAAATCTAATACATGGAAATATAGATAGACAAAATCTAATACATGGAAATATAAATAGATAATCTAATACATAGAAAATTAAACATGAAAAATAAAGTTTAAAACGCGATTTAAATATAAAAATATAATTTATTATAGGGGCCTATAAACATTTCCAAAAAAGTAATGCCATATCTAATTAAATGTATTTCACAATAATGAAAAATATGATATTCTATTATCATATCTAAATATATAAAATATAATCAATTTCTAAATAAAAGAAAATACATTTTAAATTTACGAATGATACATCAATTATATAATTTAATGGTAATATTGGGAGAGATAAAGTTCCAGATAAAGCACTCTATTGCGCACCTCTGCACTGGGTCACGTGGGTTTCATACCTGTCTGATCTAAATGTTTTGCCGCACTTCCCACACCGACGGACTGCTGGTGCCTGTCCTGATGCACTAGCCTGACTATTGCCTGATGCACTAGCCTGACTTCCGCCTGACATACTAGCCTGACTACTGCCTGATGCACTAGCCTGACTACTGCCTGATGCACTAGCCTGATTTGTCCTTGGTAGGTTAGTCTGTCTACTGCCCGATGTACTTGCCAGTCTACTTCCAGATGTATTAACTTGATTTTCTCTTGATGAGCTAGCCTGATTTTCTCTTGATGAGCTAACCTGATTTTCTCTTGATGAGCTAGCCTGACTACTACCAGATGCACTAGCTTGTCTTCTTCCTGATGTACTATCTTGACTTTCTCTTGATGAGCTAGCCTGATTATCTCTTGATGAGCTACCTTGACGGACTAACTGGCCAGCCCCTTTACCCCCTGATATACTCACTGATCTAAGAGCCTCCTCCAATATTTGTGCCGCATTAGACGGTCCACATTTCTCTTGGTGAGCCTTCAGCTTGTCATCGCTTATGAATGTCTTCTGACAATTCCTGCACCTACGCGGTGTCGCCCCTAATGCATCTCTTGAAGACTGCGCCCCACACCCTGTTGACGAATCAGTTCTTCTTCCTTCAGGTGGATCATCCTCTTTTCTTACAGAGGAGTTAACGCCCCTTTCAAATGAATTAACAACCGGACTCTCTCCAGGAAGATTTGAACCCACGCCACTCGCGTTATTAACCATACCCGCTAACGGCAGACACACAGGGAGTCCTATCTGTGGACTCATGAGCTCAGACCTTCCGTCCGCGTTCTCTACGCGGTTGAAACTTCCAAGGTTCAACTGTAAATTCACGTTAACCATACCGCTATGTATCTGGGGCGTCTGAGGGTTTTCCCGCACAGCCAACTGTTGGTCCTGTACATTGACTGAAGGCAGGGCTGGGGTGGACTTGGTTTTAGAGCGTGTTCTGGAAGCAACCGGCCCGTTATTGGCTGAAATACAAAATTATGCTCGAGCTAAAGGTGCTGATAGTAGGATTAAAACTTTAAAATAATAAGTGAAGTTAATGGACGTATGTGCTATTTATATAAAAAAATAAAACTGAAATGATACGAAACTTTGTGAAAATTATATGAAAGTACATGAAATTTGTACGAAACTTTGTGAAAATTATGGGAAACTATGAAATTTGTTTCGAAACTTTGTGAAAATTAGGGGAAACTATGAAATTTGTTTCGAAGCTTTGTGAAAATTATGGGAAACTATATGAAATTTGTTCGAAACTGAAAAGTATGTGACAGTAAACGAAATTCTGTGAAAATAATGTGAAAGTATATGTAATTCGTACAAAACTTTGTGAAATTCTGTTACATTATAGTGAGCCTTTTGTCGTGTACGTGTTTAAAACGAGCCAAATATTTGTTTCACAAAAAATACAACAGTGTAGAATTATCTTCAAAATAACCGCACATATTTACCAAACGTGACTAGAAATAAAAAGGCATTTACCTAGATAGAAGGATTCGTTTAGTTCCCTGACTAACTCAATGTAGTCCATGTCCCATAGGACTTTGAGGAAAATGTTGCCTCCGTCCTTGGCCTTCCTGACTGCGTCGATGAGGGTCCTCATTCCACGACTCGACCCTTTGTTGTCCTTCATGGCTAGGATCTGGACAAGTTGACCATTCACACAAGTCATTTAACACATCGCCACTATCACACAAGTAACACAACGCCACTATCACACAAGTAACACATCGCCACTATCACACAAGTCGTTTAACACATCGCCACTATCACACAAGAAACACATCGCCACTATCACACAAGTCGTTTAACACATCGCCACTATCACACAAGTAACACAACGCCATAATCACACAAGTAACACATCGCCACTATCACACAAGTAACACAACGCCACTATCACACAAGTAACACATCGCCACTATCACACAAGTAACACAACGCCACTATCACACGAGTCGTTTAACACATCGCCACTATCACACAAGTCGTTTAACACATCGCCACTATCATACAAGTCGTTTAACACATCTACACTATCACACAAGTCATTTTTAAACACATCGACACTATCATACAAGTCTTTTTTAAACACATGTCATTTTAGTTAACACGTTTCAACATTGACTTAAGTGTCTAGCATATTACATGCATTCACCCATACACTGGAACATAAAGATGACTTAAATGCCATATGCATACACACATACATAAACACACACGTACACAAGTGCCCGGACATGTTCATATGTTTAAATTTAAAATATAGGCGCACATATTTCCAAACCAACTAGTGCAGATACTACTACCACCACATACATCTCTACACACACACACACACACACAAACACACACACACACACACACATATATATATATATATATATATATATATATATATATATATATATATATATATATATATATATATATATATATATATATATATATATATATTTGAACGTGTATGCACTACATGTTGATATAAATCAGAAGACGTACCTCTTCTTTTTCTGGATCGGTCAATAAATCTTGCTCAACGCATTTGGCCACCAATACCTCATCACAGTCTACCTGCTCCAGTAACATGCAACGCTTCCTGTCAAAATACTCTTGCTCCTGCTCAAGCGCGCTTGCGTCAAAGTCGTCGTCGGTTAAGATCGACAGTGCGAGTTCGTGGCCTAGAAAAGTTTAGTTCTCAGTAACTTTGTTGATGGTCGAATTTGTACACATGAAATTGGATAATTAATTTTTTTCTAAGTAAAAACACGAATTTTAATATTGTTTTGTAATATTTGTATTCAGTGTTTCTTCCAGATTTTTTTTCCCGGAGGTGGGGGGGGGGGGGCGGGGGGAGGGCACTTGAAATTCCCGGGGGGGGGGGGGAAGAGGGGGGGACACTGTTAAAAGTATATATTTTACTATATAAAAATCCATCTCCCCCTCCCTCGAAGAGAAGCCTGGAAGAAACTCTGTATTCCGGCACTTTTTTTTTCTTCTATTTAATTAGGCACGAATTTTCGTATTTTCATTGCTTTACATTTTCAAATATTTGATTAAAATAAAACGTTGACCTCATTTTGTTGAAAATATTTGAAAATTTAAAACAATTATTTGATTCTTTTCTAGATGGCTTCTTAATTTTGTGTCTTTCAAATAAGATGCATCGCTCTAATACTACGAAAATAGGATTCCATAATTGCATGTTATAAAAGAGGTGCAACTGACATTTTAACCTAGTGAGGAACGTTGAATATTTGTGTACACATGCCATAATTTGTAAAATACTAGACCGATAGTGATGATATTTGGTATACCATGTCAGGACGCCACAATAATATTTACCATACATTTAATAATTATTTGGACGAAAATCATGAAGTCGTTTCGGAAGAGGTTACTTCCCATTGCATATTAATAATCGGATTTATTTTAAAGGATATTTGTTAATTATCTATTTAATTTTATATAGGTAAAGTAAAGAATCCTCTTTAGACCTCGCAATTGGGCAGAGGGATTCCCTCCAACGCAATTTATTATAAGTGTCAACAGTCAACTTGTTATGCGCCATTGGGGCCATTGACTCCGATTTCAGCCTGCTTTTCTTTTCGATTTGCTACAATAGCCTTTGTCCAACAAAGAACAAACTACAAGGCAGTTGTCCACCCTAGGAGAGCAAGTGTCCCCAGCTACAGAGATTTTTAACTCTTAAAAAAAATTATTATTTTGTCGAATTTTTTTTTTTATTTGTAGGGGTCCTTTTTTTAGCAATAATCTCGCGTTTTATGTAAAAAAAAAAAAAAATTCAAAATTATCTGAAATAAACTTAAATTTGGGAAAAAACGCTGAAAGTAAAACGCCGTAAAGCAAGGTATTACAGCACACGTAATTATAATTATGTTTAAAAAATGTACTTGCAAATATGCTATGATTTGTAGTTACAGCTATTACAAGTATTTAACAACGACTCTAATACATGTATTTACACCTATGCTATTATAAGTATTAAACAACGACTCTAATACATGTATTTACACCTATGCTATTATAAGTATTAAACAACGACTCTAATACATGTATTTACACCTATGCCATTAAAAGTATTAATGCCTCTTTATGTTCAGTACCTGGCTCTCTTAGTGCAGAAATTAAAACATCCGCTTTGTTTTCATTCGTTGAATCCAGAAATGCTTCCAGAAACATCCTAGCTGCTTCCTCCTTGTAATCTTTCTCTTTATTTGCTATTTCTGTTAGTCGAGATGCTAAGAGAAAAAAAATACTATATACTTTTTTTAACATCCAATCCTACTCTTGTCATGCATCGGGTGAGTAGTCTACCGCTAGGCCACCTCCTCCCATGATTAAAGACATTTAGTATAATCTCATTTTATAGTTATTTTGCACTTCTAATACATTCCAGAGGCGTAGCGACGGGGGGGGGGGTACATATGTCTCCTAGCGCCGACCTTAGGGGCGCCAAAATGGATTGAAAAAAAAAAATTAAAAGCTCATTTTAGCTGCAGTTTTGAATTATAAATATATTAAAAAATATATGGGTGGTGGGGGAGGGGCGGGGGGGAGCCTAATTGAAAGTTTGTCCCCGGGCGCCGATAGGAGTCGCTACGCCTCTAATACATACCCACTACACTTACTTTCAATGATGTCAATAAATGTGTGTTTGCCGTTGAGCAGCTCGAATACCCTGAGATTTTTCCACAGACTACCATAATGTTTATTGATCTTTGACTTGAGGTGGTCTAGAGTAAGGTGACCAGTTTTGATCCCTTGCATTGAACCTGAAGCCATTTTTTCTCTAAAGAAAGTGTAGAGAACTGTGTCCCAATAAGTTAAGTCGATAGACTGTTCTGCAGATATCTACTTTAGAAAAAAAAATTGTTAATAATTGTTTTAATAACAAGCTTTTATGTAATAATGCACTAAAAAGTGGATTTTTTTTTCGTTAAATATATAATAAAATAGTACTATTTAGATCAGGGGTCTCCAAACTACGGCCCGCGGGCCGGATGCGGCCCGCGAAGTCCTCTCATCCGGCCCGCGGAGATCTTTTTGTCCAAGGAAAAATTGTTTGTTGGTTATGATGGCTGAGGGACTTTGCCCAGAAAAATCAAAGACATGCCTGGAAGCAGAGCCGGCGTTAGGGGGTGGCGAACGGGGCGGCCGCCCTAGGCCCCGCGCCTGAAGGGGCCCCGCGCTTCAGCACTGCCATTGTTATCTGAATTAGTTTGTAAACTTAAATAAATTGTTGCTGAATTCAATGGGGAAAAATTAAATGGTGGAATGCCAAAGTTGTTGATTGTTATAACTGAGGCCACGGTTGATGTTGGTGAGTTATCACCCACATGAACTGGGAAAGGCCGTAATTCGATACAAAAACAGTGTCACACGGACACCTCCCCTTTGTGTAGGGTACGGTCGCCTCGCATTTGACCTGAGCTGACTGGAGATGGCAGTCGAGAATTAGCCCACGACCTGACATGGGATGTAAATTTGTGAAACAGGTAAAAAGATACTCTATATTATGCGGACCGATGAAGACGTCGTTTTAGTGAGCAGAGGGATGCCTGTAGTAGACAGTTAGTGACCTGATGAACGCTAGTCCTGACTTTCTTGTTGTAGATGTCGTATATGTAGGCGGCAGGCCTACTTGTCTTGGTATAACAAAATTAACATCCAGTTGCGTGCAGAGGGGTGGGAAGAGGGCGATGAGGGGGGGAGGGGGGGAGGCCCTTAGGATCTATATCAAGGGGCATTAGACAGAGTGATTTATTATTATTTTTTCGAAGAAAGTTTAAAGTGTTGATGTAGCATGTTTTTTCTATCATTAGCAGGTTTACGTCATGGTGTCACCGCCCCCCCCCCCCCCCCCCCCTCTCCACCCTTGTCGGAATTTATCACATTTGCTCTTTAAAGACTATTTAACACTCTAATTAACCACTTTTTAAAGTGAAACTATCATTTTTTGTATATGTTTTGCTATTTTTTTGCCTTGGTGTCACCCGGTGCGGTCCGCACCCCATCCCTCGCTACGCCCATGCTTTTTATATTAACAATTAGTCATCAACAAACAATTTAAACAACTTTATTTTCCTAATTATTGGGCACGTGATTGAATTTTCTTAAGTGATTTGGTATGAATTACTTATCTGTTATTAAATATCTTAGCAAGAAAAAAACCCACTAAGAACATTGGGTTAAAACGTGGGAGAGATAAACATCTGTTATTAAAGTCTTATAGACTCCAAAACATTTATGTGTTATTATGTGTGTATGCATTTTATATAGGACTATACACACACACACACACACACACACACGCATATATATATATATATATATATATATATATATATATATATATATATATATATATATATATATATATATATATATATATATATATATATAATATATATATAATGGAAAAAAGCAGGCCCCGCGCGGATGGTTGGCCCTAGGCCTCGCGTATTCCTAGCGCCGGCTCTGCCTGGAAGAAACTGCCCCCCCCCCCCCCCCCCCCCCCCCCCGAACTGTAATTTGATAGTTAATCCGGCCCTCGGACTGAAAAGTTTGGAGACCCCTGATTTAGATTACTGTAAAGAAAAGCGTGCTTCACTATAGTATGTATTGGAAAATTTTACTATGTTTTAAGAAGCGACCCACGCTTTTTTTTAACGGTTATGAAAATAGTAGTGTTATTATATATATTTATATATAATGGAAAGTAAACCGAACTAATGTGTAAGGGGCGTATATATATATATATATATATATATATATATATATTATATATATATATATATATATATATATATATATATATATATATATATATACATATATATAAATAGCTGCATACCCGTGCTCCGCCACGGTAAATCTTTTTTAAATGTACCAACTTGGGAACAGAACAAAACTAAACTAAACTATACTAAACTAAACACAACACAAACACAACACAATTAAAATGTATCCACTTTTTCAAGGAATCTAAACAAAAATGATATTTGACGTTAATCCGTTTAATATGTTTAAGCAAAATGCGGGTATTTAATATTTTCTTTACGTTATGCGAAAGAGTAAAAACAGGGGCAACTATAAAATTAATTTAAGCCGTTATACAAACAAACCCTACTCTAATACATAAAAATAAGACACTGCGATGCAAGTGAACAGCACGACACGTGATGTGCTTACTTTTATGGTTCCAAAATCTCTGGCGATGACACACTACCAGCCCGCTTATATTATACATATATATATATATATATATATATATATATATATATATATATATATATATATATATATATATATATATTATACATATATATATATATATATATATATATATATATATATATATATATATATATATATATATATATATATAACACAAGAGAAATGTTACAATAACTAACAAGATATAATGTAACAGTGACTAGGACTGGGTCCTTGTGTCCGCGTGTCCCTATCGATGAGCTCTCCGAATAGGTATAGCGGTTAGACTGTTTCTTTCCATCGCAAAACATGCCGGGGTTTAAAAACAAAGCAGGACAGTCTTCACAATCCGTCAGGTCCTATAATCAGCTACCCGGTAGGGACATCGTACGGTCAGGTACTCGTCAGAGCTGATTGGGCTCGTGGACGCCATACGGTCAGGTACTCGATATTGCTGAGTGAGCTCAGGTACGTTTTATGGTTAGGCACTCGTCAGAGATAGTTGGACTTAGGGACACCATATGGTTAGGTACTCGACACAGCTGAGTGAGCTCGGGGAAGTCATACGGTCAGGCACTCGACACAGCTGAGTGAGCTCGGGGAAAGTCATACGGTCAGGTACTCAACACAGCTGGGTGGTCCTCCGTTAAGACCAACCCTGTGTGGAATCGTGAACGTCATTTAACAGATTATATACACCATAAGGTTAGGTACCCGATAGAGCTGAGTGGACTCCGGTAAGACCAACCCTGTGTGGAATCGTGAACGTCATTTAACAGATTCTAGCCCAAAATTTGAACACAGATTTAAGCAACTAAAAATATCAGCTAAACTGTACGCATCAATAAAGGGTGTGTGTCAATCCCAACCTGTGCTTGCCTGTGACCAGTCTAGTGCGGTCGAATAAGAAAGTTTCCTATAGACCTTACGTGCCGGCTGCGTAATGCAAGCATCGAATGGACATGCGCTGTTGATTTTAGTTCATTGCTTTAGCTAAATTCTTGGGTCCGTGTGTAACTTCTTGTATGTGTGTTTATGTGATTTTTGTGTGCGTGGGGGTCTGTGCTTGTATGTTTATGTGTATGATTGTGTGTTGTTTGTATGTCTGTGTGTATACGTGTGTGTATTTGGTGTGTTTTATATATATACTGGGTGTGTGGATGTATTTGTGTTAATCTGTTTTATGTATTTAGTGGACAGATGAGTGAGAAGATCGACAGACAGACAGCAATGAAGTTTCAGACTACTAATCGGAAGAACAGATGTACGAACAGACAGACAGATGGATGGCCAGGTCGATTAGTAGATCGTTTTGCTGCTGGCCTGAAGGTCTCGAGTTCGGATCTCGGTTCTGACTTCTGATTGTCCCTGAGTCCACCCAGCTTTGACGGGTGCCTGGCTTACGTTGGGGGGAAAGTAAAGGCGACTGGGCATAGTGCTGACCACACCATCCTTACTTTTTCTGAAGTCAAGAAACATGAACTCTACTTCATCTTTCCAATACATCGCTAGGTCTAAAGAGGAACATTACTTTCTTTACTTACAAACAGACAAAATATAATTAAAGTACTTCGTGTCAAACAAACAAAACTAATACAACTTACCGCGTAGTATGTCTGTCAGTCAAGTTGTTTTTTTTTTTCTGTGTATTAAAATGCTCCATCAGTGATACACCAATGCATGCCTATAGGAAAGTGAAACTGAAACATCAGTTCATAGAAAAAAGTCAGCACAGTATTATAACGATCGTGTTTTCTCCTTATAGGCGTACAGTGTAGAAAATAAGTAGTCGATAAACTGTTTAAAAATGTAACATTTTGTTGAATACAATAAATGGATTTTTTATGCCCTGCCTCCTACTTTCCCCCCTAACGTTAGTCGGGTACCTTCTTTCTTCTTCTTCGTTCTTAATTTTGAGTGTTGGAAGATATTCCCTACAACACAATTAAGGATACGTGTCAACTTGTTATGCACCATATAGGCCGTTTGACTCCGATTTCTGGATTTGCTTCCATAGCCTTTGTCCAACCAAGAACAAACCACAAGGCAGCAGTTGTTTGATTTTGGAGTTGTCTCTCCTAGAAGAGTTGCTGTCCCCCAGCTAACGAGCCTCATCTGACCGGGGGGTTCGAACTCGAGACTTTTCGGATTAGCAACCATGAGGTTTACCGACTCGACACCGATTCAGAGCTGTGTGGACTCCAGGACCTCATGCAGACTCAACTCCGGACAGTGATCCGACTTGAGACTTTCGTGTTAGCAGTCGAGCGCCCCACTACCCGACCACAGCGTCCTTGATTTTACCAATAAACTACACAAAAGACAACTTAAAACTTTAATTTTGCTTGACTCGGGGCTAGAAATTCATCGATCGTTTACTGCGGTGAATTTTATCGATATATATATATTATATATATATATATATATATATATATATATATATATATATATATATAGATATATAGATATATAGATATATATTTATATATATATATATATATATATATATATATATATATATATATATATATATAATATATATATATACATATAGGGGTCATCCATTTATGACGTCCACACTCGGGTGGGGTGAGGGGGGGGGGGGGGGGTCCGAAAAAAACTCACTTTTGTGGACGCAAATGGACTTTTATAAGAAAAAAAATGGTTTTTTGTGGACGGGGGGGGGGGGGGGGGGGGGGGGGGGGGAGGGTCCAAAATCCACAAAAATTGTGGACGTCATAAATGGATGACCCCCTATTATAATTTATGTCTAACCTCAGCCTGTATGTCTAGAATCCAAACTCCCTGTACCCCCTCCCCACCACACCCCCTGAATACTAAATTAATCGATTAATCGAGAAACATCCCCAACCTTGCTCCATACATATCAACGTGTTTTATTACCGTAACACACATACAAAAAAAATATTTATAAACACCGGCTTTCGTAATCGTCGCGTTCACTTCCTCTGACCTAATTTGATAGGTGACCCAGTGACCCTAGTTTACTACTATGATGTATTTGTACACGCTTCGTCTTATTACTCTGATAGGTTAAACCGTTGAGGGTCACCGTGACCCGTGCTTTGCTGTGTCTTTCAGCCCCCCCCCCCCCCCCCAACCTCTTTATATAGAGTTTAATTGAATAGTAATGTTTTTTTTTTTTACTGAATCCCTTTACGGGACTACTCACAAGCAGGAATTAAGAAAAATAATTATAATTTTAAAAAAAACCAATTAGTCTTGCCGAAGTTATCCTCCACCCGCAGATCCTTCCCCCCCCCCCCCCCCCCATCCCTTACCCCAACTCCACAAAAAAGATACATATTTGAGCAGTTAGCAACATATTGAATGAAGACATATTGAATCAGATCTACAGAACTAAGCTGGTTCATTAATGAATCTATTCATTTTTACCTGCATATTTCCCCTGCTACCTGTTATGCGTGACATGCATGTGGGCAATTAATAATCTCGCTTAATTATTTGTGATACAAATTACATTTTAATTTGGTATGGTTTTTAGATATACATGTAATGAAAACAGACGGTTCATTTTGGGTTAGTAGGGTAGGTCAAGTGGTCGGGTGGTAGGGCGTACGATTACTAACCCAATAGTCTCGAGTTCGGATCCCGAAATGCAATCCGTAAGATACCTTCAAGCTCACCCTGCTCTGATTGGTACCTGACTCAGGTAATGGGAAAAAAACTAAGGCGAACTCTACTTCATCTGAACCACGTGACTTTATATATTTTTAAAAAGTAAGTGAATGGTTAGTATGATTGTGAGTGTGGAGGGAGGGGGGGGGGGGTGCATAATCAAAGATAGCGTTAGATACAGCTGATTGGTGGAGATGGATAAGACATTATGGCAGTTTTAGTTATGGTTTCACTGCTTACGTAGACACAAATCCTTATTCATGTCACCTTTTAAAAATAAGGTGTGCAGTAGGTTATGGACAGTGTTTTCTTCCAGGCATCAAGGAGACAGTTTACTCCCCCCCCCCCAACAAAATAAAATGTATATATAAGATATATAACTTTTTAACAGTGTTCGCCCCCACCCACCCGGAAATTTCAGTTCGCCCCCCCCCCCCTCCCAAAAAAAAAATTCAAACTAACCCCCGGAGAAAAAAGTCTGGAAGAAATACTGGTTATGGATAAGTGGTGATGGTGTTGGTGTTGGTGTTGTTTGTGGTGTTGGTGTTAGTGTTGGTGTTGGTGTTGGTGTTGGTGTTGGTGTTGGTGTTGGTGTTGGTGTTGGTGTTAGTGTTAGTGTTAGTGTTAGTGTTGGTGTTGGTGTTAGTGTTAGTGTTAGTGTTGGTGTTAGTGTTGGTGTTGGTGTTGGTGTTAGTGTTAGTGTTAGTGTTAGTGTTATTGTTGGGGTTAGGGTTAAGGATAAGGTTAAACATATTAACACAGTTATGGATAGGGAGTTGGATATGGAGATGGATAGGCACAGAAAGAGATATAACATGTATTTTAACGAAGGCATGGAATAATTACCTAGGGGAGTAATTAACGTAGGTTAATGAAGGGGATAGTGGATAACGTGGCGGGGATTGTGGGAATTAATTTACGGAAATAAATTACGATATACCCTCGTCACACAACGTTACAAAAGTCCCAAAATCTGAACCCTCAACCCGTCAATTTATTGACGACCCCAGTGGTAATATAGGGCGTACAAAATTTGGAAAAAAAAAATATTCGGCGATCAGTCATATATATGTTCGTCTATAGGCTATTGTTGTCAGACAAAATTAAAACAGGGTCAAGGTAGTTGTTCGGTGATGGTTATTATTGTTGCGTACCACGTGGTTTTTGCGAGTGACGTCTGTCGTCTAGGGGCAGGTAACTCCCGTCAATAATAAAACAGTAAATTTTCCCTCTACGCCGTTCTTCGTTAGGAGTGATCGAACTTTTGTGTTGTTTAAAGAATGTTAGGTTATTAAACTAGCGAGCATGCCGTGAGGTAGAGATAATCTAATTTAGAATCTATTTTGGGGGGGGGGGGGGCTTAAGGGGTAGTGGAAGCGGTGTGTGTGTGTGTTGGGGGGGGGGGGGTTATGTTACATAAACGCGACTTGAAATCCAATCTCTCCCCCCTCCCCCCTTCACCATCCCATCCACTATAAATATAATTATTAATTATTTATTAATTAGATATCTTCTTCTGCATTGTCCATTCGATGCTTTTACTTCTTGCGTATATCATGTTTCATCAAACCTTACTACAATCCTAAGACTAATTCAAGCCTTACCCTTTGCCCTTATCCTCAGGCAATCTCGGACCTATGCCTGATCCCCAACCAGAAATCTAACTACGATAACCTGATATAATACTGTGACGTTTTTTTTTTATCTCTAAAAACAAAACCTAATAGCGCATTGCCATCGCTGTAACATGCACATGAGGAGGGGGTGGGGGAAGAGGGCGCAGTGTTATTAAAGTAGTGTTCTAATCCCCCCTCCCAATCCCCTCTCCTATTTAGTTTGTTGTTTTTCCAACGTTTGTGATAAGCTAATGGTAGGCCACACGTCAAAACATGTTTGAATAGATAGCATTCTAGATGCAAGGTCGATGGAATGCTAATTGGGGGAGGGGGGGATGGAGTTCACCTATTATACATACTGTATTATGTGACGTAAATCAAACATATCATAGGTGCTGATGTAGGCCTATATTTTACTTAATACATAAACTCTCCCCTTCAAATCGTTAAATGTTTACTGAAACGGTAGACATCGATACAAAGCACATATACAAAGAAACAACTTATTTAATACGAACGTCTCAGGTTATAAAAAAAATGAAAATAAATATCAGAAAACGATACTTAGTATATATATATATATATATATATATATATATATATATATATATATATATATATATATATATATACATATATATATATATATATATATACATACATACAATAGCGCAGTATGTTTAAGACAACCAAATATATTTGATCACAGAGTGCTGCAGAATGACCATTGATGACAAGCAGATCGGAATTTGCTCAATAACCAATATCCCCCAGGTGATTGCCATTTTTTTGTTCATGATCAATCACCAGCGTGACGACCTAACGTGACCCATGTACAGCAGGCGAGTCGGGGGGGGGGGGGTATGAAATTTTGCCAGAAGCTTCTCATACTTTACATTCCTACCTGGCCGAACAAAA